TCTCAGAGAACAAAGAAATAGCATTATTAAGTATTCGTACATGTACGATAGGAAATTAAGGAACTCATCTACATTTTTAAGTTATGACCATGAAAGGAAGAACCTCTGAGATGGAAATTTTGCGACAACAGCTGGATCCTTCTAACTTTCACATAGATTCTTTTGAGTTTCTGCACAAAACTGGAACTATTCTTATGTTAGCCCGTGTTTAGTTAAGTGAAGTTTAGAATTTGGGCTACTGTAGCACTTTCGTTTTTATTTAGCAATTAGTGTTCAATCATGGACTAATTAGGCTCAAAACGTTCGTCTCGTAATTTTCCACCAAACTGTACAATTAGTTTTTTTTCGTCTACATTTAATGCTCCATGCACGTATCGCAAGATTCGATGTGATGGATATTGTAGCACTTTTTGGGAATTTGGAGGGGAACTAAACACGGGATTAGCATTGGAGAATATCAAGCTTTGGTAATTGAAGGGCGGGCCTAGTGCAAGCGGTAGAGCCTTACCACCTGTGACCGGAAAGTCCCGTGTTCGAGTCACGGTCTCCTAGCATTGCACATGCGAGGGTAAGGCTTACCACTAACACCCTTCCTCAGACCCTGCACAGAGCGGGAGCTCTCTGCACTGGGTACGCCCTTTTTTCAAGCTTTGGTAATTTTAAGCAGCTAAAAAATGTATTTATGAAGACATTGGCATTACATAATCCTAGAAACTATATTAGGCTGTAAAATAGACTGTAGAATCAGGGAAGATAGATATTTTCATTCTTTTGATTTTTATCATGTAAGGTAGTGTTCCGAGTTTTTTTCCCTGTGTCATACAACACTTTTCAGACTTTGTAATGAATTTTCTCTGCTGTCATAGTGGTCGAAGCTGCACAGTGTTATGCCTATTATCTAAACAAAACAACAAACAGTTGACTCCACTATCATTAGTTGAACTACGTATCAACTATCAAATTAAACCAATAGTTTCATGAGAAACAAAAACAGTAATTACCACAGGGCAGAGGTGCGCACGAAGATGTGCTTCAATTTCTATTAGCACCAAGTCCATCATTGATGATTGAAACCTATCTGAGTTTGTCAAACTTGGTGACCCTTTCAGTCAACTTCGTTAACTAAGGTTCCCGAGGTACTTATCCATTACTGCATACACAACAGTAATAAAAAGTGAACCCATGACCATTGGTCCTCCAATGTTCAAACTATGATATGAACAATTGATGTGATCATGCAAAGGAAATACTACTGGAGGTCTAAAACTATCAGAATAGCTTCATGAGGCTTCTGGTGCTATAAAAAAGGTTCCTTTGTAGATGGTTAAATAATATGTGAATTGCCGATGCACCCACACCGTCTTCTTTTCTTTAGAGGAGGTCCAGTATTGGTGCATAGTCAAAATGGTTTTATGAACCTGTCCCATATACATTGTTTTGTTAGCTGGAAAAGCTTCAGAACTAGGTTCAGTCAGTAATATTAAAGTATCAGAAACCAATCACTGGGCCAGTTTCCTCAAAATAACTATGTCGGGTTCATAAACCCGGGGTCCCTCGCAGATCGGCTTCCCAACAAAGGCTCGGCCCAAGCAGACAACGCGCAACTCATGGGCCGGCCCAAGTATCTGAACAACAGGCCAGAAGGGCGATCCAATCACCGACCAGAAGGTCTGGCCGAGGAGGAGCGACGCCTATTTTCCGACTCCGGCCCACCTTTCCGACCAGAGGGCTCACTTCGATCTCCTGCTCGCCTCCGGACAGTCTCTCCGACCAGAAAGCCTGGCCAAAGCACTACTTCTGACTCCGACCCCACGTCTCCGACCGAGGTACACAAAAACCCTGCTCACTGCTATTCTCCGACTAACGCAACCAGAGCCGACTGGGACTAACTGACCGAGGACGCCCGCTCGGAAAGGACCAGGGAACGAATGGAGAAAGCAAGGCAAGGTGCACAAGTCTAACCACGATACCAGGAATCGTACCCTGTACACCTGCAGAAACAGTACTCTGTAACCTCCCTGACACAAATAGTGTTGTAGGCGCCGATATTTTCCCTACAGTATTGTGGGCGCCATTAAACTCCCATACGGTAAGGCTCCCCCCACATGCCTCTGGGCATCGACAGTGTTGTAGGCGCCGACATTTACCGTACCGAGTAAACATGGTAAAACTCCTCACATGCCTCTGGGCATCAACAGTATAGCAGGTACCGACATCTGCCATACCCGAACAAGACGACGCAGCCTCCCACGTGCATCCGACATCCAACAGTGTTGTGGACGCCTACCATCATCATGTACCCGCCGACGTGGGCAACAAGGCTTAGAAGCATACGTACCCTCTCCCTCTCACTTGTAAGACCATCCCCTTCATCTATAAAAGGGGATGCGCTCTCTCCCAATATTCAAGTCATTCCAGATTCATTAGATCGATCAAGTTCACTAGTTCACAACCGCAGAACCGCCAGGTTCGAACCTCAAGCACCCGCTTGAACACTTAACTCATAGAGGGGCTCCCGTCACTCTCGGCCCTTCCGACCAGAGTCCAACCGGACCTCTTGTACCTCCATCTTTCTCTTTCTCGTTTGTAACCCCACTACAAACTTCAAGCACCTGGGCTCAGGAATAAAGTCACCGACCGACTCAAACTGGACGTAGGGCATGTTGCCTGAACCAGTATAAACCCTGTGTCATTGAGTGCTAGGCCACCTCCGATCACAACATACGGCAAAACTATAAATATTTACTTGTTGGTCACTTTCTGCACTGACAGTTGGCGCCGTCCGTGGGGAAGACGTACGTTCAACACTTTTTGGTCATCGGATGGCCCACTTTTCCGCCACCTTCGCCATGGCGGGCTCAAGGCGATACGACACTCTTCGGCTCACTCAAGTTTCCCGCTCTCCCACCAGTTGGGATGTGGGTTCCACCCGTCTTCGAGCCGTCCCAGGCCTTCCTCTTCGGAAACCTGGACTTCATCTCCGACTGGCTCGGCGTACTACGCCTCCGCGAGGAGACTCTTGTTCCGGCACCCATCGGAGGGGCGCTCTCCATCGGCTCCGGAATGCACGACGACTTCAACGACGAGGCATCTGCGCTTCATTCCGAGCAAACTCTCTGCTCAAACCCTGCTGTGAGTAATATGCATACTGTAATTTACTCTCTATTTACTATCTCCCGTCGATTATCCGGAGGGACCATATTGACCGCATCACAGACACCGTACGATCGGTTCCCCTACGGCCTCGCGTGCGCTCGGGGGCTCCGAGGGACGCTGCCACCATCCCCACATCCGAATTCATGGGAATCAGGGAAGATAGATATTTTCATTCTTTTGATTTTTATCATGTAAGGTAGTGTTTCGAGTTTTTTTCCATGTGTCATACAACACTTTTCAGACTTTGTAATGAATTTTCTCTGCTGTCATAGTGCTCGAAGCTGCACATTGTTATGCCTATTATCTAAACAAAACAACAAATAGTTGACTCCACTATCATTAGTTGAACTACGTATCAACTATCAAATTAAACCAATAGTTTCATAAGAAGCAAAAACAGTAATTACCACAGGCAGAGGTGCACACGAAGATGTGCTTCAATTTCTATTAGCATGAAGTCCATCATTGATGATTGAAACCTATCTGAGTTTGTCAAACTTGGTGGCCCTTTCAGTCAACTTCGCTAACTAAGGTTCCCGAGGTACTTATCCATTACTGCATGCACAACAGTAATAAAAAGTGAACCCATGACCATTGGTCCTCCAATGTTCAAACTATGATATGAACAATTGATGTGATCATGCAAAGGAAATACTACTGGAGGTCTAAAACTATCAGAATAGCTTCATGAGGCTTCTGGTGCTATAAAAAAGATTCCTTTGTAGATGGTTAAATAATATGTGAATTGCCGATGCACCCACACAGTCTTCTTTTCTTTAGAGGAGGTCTAGTATTGGTGCATATTCAAAATGGTTTATGAACCTGTCCCATATACATTGTTTTGTTAGCCGGAAAAGCTTCAGAACCAGGTTCAGTCAGTAATATTAAAGTATCAAAAACCAATCACTGAGCCAGTTTTCTCAAAATAACTGCTATATTCAAAACCTTTTGCCTTTGCTAGTTAGATGTTGCCAATATGTTTTCCTAAAGTCTGCATGAGAAAACCAACAGAACAGGCACTTTGGAAGCCAAATAATCGATAATTCAAATGTAGAAAAACAACCAAGCTTCAGATGGCAAGTAGAGCTCAATGAGAGGGACTGCAGATTTGAACAATAGTATTTTCCCAGCCTAGGAGAGCAGCAGCACAAAAAGCACCAGGTATAAAAAAAACAGTAGAAAGAAGACAGCAACAACCTGCAGCAGTAGAAATGGAAAGACTGTGGCCCAAATATATCTAAATTTTATGCACATTGTTTTTTTGGCTTTACAGAATAAAATATTCTAATTAACTGTCAGTATAATCTAGATAAAAAAACTATGGAATAGAAATGGAAAGACTATGGCCCAAATATATCTAAATTTTATGCACATTGTTTTTTTGGCTCTACAGAATATAATATTCTAATTAACTGTCAGTATAATCTAAATAAAAAAACTATGGAATAGCTAGTAGTTATCAATTTAACTGGAAATTGGATAGCATAGGCATTAAGAAAATATTGTAAACATCTAGTATCTGTGTTAAGAAAGACTGCGGGCCATCTTGGTTTTGTCTACAATGAGTTATTTCAGTAACCTGCACATAGGAATCTTATTGTGACATAGTAAATTTTCATCTCTAATTAAGCAATGTGTAAGTAAATAATACAAGAACACAAGCAACAGCTACGGTACAAAAACAGAAGCATTAACAATGTGGAAGAACATCATATACTGATGCGGCTCTGCAAGCAACAATGGATGATGCACATGGAGGCAATCATGGGCCAACTCCATCAGCCGTCACTTGCACGGAATAGAGGGAGTGTTCTGTTACAGTGCATGGAGGAAGAGGGTTTGGCATGATCAGTACTGCCGTCCACGGTAGACCATGCGAGAGGATCGCCAGTGGGCTACGGCCATCATATGAAACAAGAAACCAAATCACAAACAAGGTATAGTAAGCAAGAGAGATACATTTAAAATGGAGGTTCATTTGAGTAAAAATAATATGACAAGAGCACACTGCCTCGTAATTATTTGTTTTAGTCCTCTCAAAATCACCGAGAAGGCAATCTTCCCAAGTATCATCCTCTCCAGTAAAAAGAGCATGACAATCCTGCAAAAAGATTTGTTAACTTGACTCCAAAATTATGAATGTTCACTTTGGAGGAAACTTTGTGCACTTCGAAACTGTACTGGAACTCCATTCAGAGCATCTGCCCAAGCGTGGTGAAATGCTCGTCACTCAAGAAGAGTTGACTTCTCAATTTGTCACTGTTTGGCTTATTATTCTTACAAATTTGAAGCACACATTTTGAGCTGGCTTGCGACTATGGTAAATCCATTAGTGGGGATTCAGTTTATACAAGAGGGAAAAGGAAGATCGGCTTGTTATGAGTATAGAGTGCACATATAAGAAGCAACACAACATTTTCCAAAGAATGTTATAGTGAATTACTTAATCACAGTAGTAAAGATGGATGCTAAAATCAAATAGGTAAAATGATTTTAAAACATGTATTGCCGTAGCAAATGTTTAAGTATAACATCTATGCTGGTCAATATGGGACGAAGGTAAATGTGAGGTCATGACATGGTTGCCTTACAAAATAAAACCTTTTTTAGAATTAGCTCCAAGAAATTAGGTCTTATCTGGAACCTCAACAAAGAGCACTCGCCTCTCAACCGAAACAAATTCACACAAAAAACTACATATATGTCTGAGGAGAACATTCAGCACAAATTTGAAAGGATTTAAAACCATGTCATCTCACTGCTGTAGTAAGCATTGACCTATCCAAAATTTCTTAACTTGTTTAAAACATTAGTCCGAAAAGTGAAAATCTAATCTTGAGGAACATACATGAATAAATTAAAATGGTTTGTATAGGCTCGGTATTCACCAATGTGGCACTTGGGGAACATTGTGAGTGATTGAAGGAGGTGGCCTTCGAAACAGATTTGCATCACCATACCAGAATGTAGGAAAAATCTCACAAAATTTGGTAATCGCACCAACAATTTGGGGCTCCCACCACCAAAACATCCAAAGAAAAGAAGGCCAAGAGACATGGAGGAGATGGGAGGTTACCTCGTCATGCCACGCAGCCACGGATGGACAACAACTCGCCAACAGCAATTTTGTCATTGCCGAAAGCGCCACACCGGAGAAGGGCACCGCCACGGGGGTGGGTCGGTTGACGCCACACCCCAGCACATGCTGCTAGGGTTTCCTGTAGCACCTGTAGCACATGAGCACACACGGCGAGAGAGGGAGGCAGCGGCCGGGGGCAAGCGACGCCGGCGGCCACCGCCGGGCCCAGTCGCGAGGGGGAAATTAGGAGCGACATGGACATGTGTTCTCTGGAGGAGCCCTACGGGCTAACTCGCGGAGAAATTTGGATTAGGATCGGCCTTAATCGCCCCTATTTCAAACGGGACATACCACAGCGTATGCCCCACATGTCATCCACCCGCCCAGATTATATTCTCTGACATTATCCCCGACGACGCTGGCCGGTCGCGACGCCTACGTGCCGTTACCCTCCCGTCCACCTCGAACCCCGCGCCCACGCGCTCCCCGCCAGGCCGCCACCCGTCATCATGCCCCTCACGGCCTCGCTGCACCCGTCCCCCACTGCCACACCGGCCCCACCGCAGCTCCCAGCCCCACCTCCAAGAACCAAACAAACTTTCCCAGCTCGCGTACCCCCACACGCCGCACCCGCCGACACGTGGGGTCGACGTCAGCGGGTACGTGGGCGGGGCGGTCAAAACGTACTTGGATGGAGGCCGGTCCGCCTGCCGCACCGCCGTGTCCTAGCAGGCTAGCGGTGGCCCCACACCAACTACTCTCCCCCACCGAACCAGGCACGACCACGCGCTGTCCAGTCGTGAGTCACTGACGCGTGGGCCGAAGCCGTTTCTGGGCCCACGCGTCGGTGTGCGTGGAGCTGAGGGGAGCGCGTGAGGCAGTGCGGTGGACAGGAGTGCGGTGGTGGTGGTGGACAGAGAGAGAGGGGGCCAGCGGGGCCCACGAGCGGGCGGTGGGGGCCGAGTGGAGACGAGGCACGCGTCTCCCTCGCTCGTCTCACCCCTTTTCGTCTCTCCTCTGCCTTTCCCCATCGTCTACACCTCATCACAATCACAGCGAGAAGGGGAGAGAGTGTGAGGGGGAAGAGAGAGAGGGCTAGGGTTTCGTGCTCCCCCACGCCACACGCATCGAATCCGAGTCGGATCGGGGGGTGCGCGGAGTCGCCGGCGGCCCGGCGGTGCCTGGTAAGGCCAGATCCCCCCGCGTGCCTCCCTCCTCACCTCTCTGACCGCGGCGTGGCCGGTCGGGTCCTGCTGCTGCGGCGATTCGAGGGTTCGGGCCGTTTCAATTGCGGTTGGGTTTGTTTCGGGAAAGCGGATCGTCTGGGGTTTGCTTCGCGGAGAATTCGGGTCCGTGTGGTAGGTGCCACCGTGCCTGCTCGTCCTGGGCGATTTGGGGGGCGGTCGTCGTCGTCGTCGTCGCGGTGAGCTGGTTGGGGTTGTGTGGTGGGAATTTGGGGGTCTGGGTGCGGGAATTCAGAGTGGTTTCAGTAATTCAGAGTGCATACCATAAATTGAAGAAGTTGGTATCGCTACTATTTTATTGCTTGTTACACCTTAAAACTTGAGATGCATTTGTTCCATTTTGTGGAAGGTCTAATGATTTGATAGCAAGATATCAGTACCAGTGACAATCAGTGATCTTTTGTTTTGCACCTAAATTTTGATTTCTGAAATTAGTTTTCATGTGTTTGCTAGTTTTATGGAGTACTTATGCTGAGCCCATGTCTTGGCTGAGACAGATAATTCTTGTGTGCCATTAACTTTTCCTTCTGATTTTTTTTGCTGCTCTAATGATTAGATTGATTTACTAAAAAGGTGTGCATTTTTGTGAGGTTGCTAATGCTTTTCTAGAGCATTGCTTGCATGTCAAGGCTTTGTTGATGTTGTTATTATGTAGAACTTGCTGGATAGAATTGTTTTAGATTGATAATTTCCTAGTATTGTGTTCCCCTCATCGTAGTGTGATTAGTGTCTTGGCTGGACTGTTTAATAAAAGATGCATAAGATAACTTGAATATCTCAAAACTTTCTGGATACTGTTAGGAATTTTGATCTTATAATAAATACTAATGAATAGCTGAACATATTTGTCTTTCCTCTCAACTCAGCAACTACAATATTTTGGCTATGGAGAAATTAAATTATTGATTCTGAACTCCTATTTTTTGCCTGTTTGGTTTCAGGGCTGTGATTCCATTGCAATGGCATCTGAAACTGATGAGAAAGCTAAGATGGAGAGTTTGTCATCTGCTGCAGCCTTTGTGGAGGGTGGCATTCAGGACGCTTGTGATGATGCATGTAGCATTTGCCTTGAGGCTTTCTGTGAGAGTGACCCTTCTGCAGTAAGTTGCCATTTATTTGGTTGAGCTATTTTGGATATAGGGGGTTATATCTGTAACCAATTCTTGTTTTTGCTTTGTTTTCTAGTTGACTGGCTGCAAACATGAGTTCCATCTCCAATGCATTCTTGAATGGTATGGTACTAGCTCTCATGTATGCATCATACATGTTACATTTTTTTATATTATTCCCACCTTGCACACGAACCATACCTAGTTCCATCAGTAATTCATCTGGGCACATGTGTTAGTGGTTATCAGTAATGGCACATTTTAGAACATTGAAATCTCCATGCCTTAAGAACTTGTGTGGTTTACTTGACCATATCTGTTGCCTTTACTTAGACTGTAATATTTGATTGGTACTGGAAAGGACAACTGTTTAGTATGGCTTTTCCACATGAAAATTTTGTCGCTAAATTTGGTTTTTGTCATCCCTATAGTTGGACAGCTTTCTAGACTTGGGATGGTCTATTATTGAACTGTACTGCATTGTTACTGACAAAATGTAGTCATAACATCGTATGCTCAACAAACACTTTCCACGCTAGCTTTATGAACAGTTGTAATAAAAATGCAGGGACGTACAATTATTTGTTGTGGTTGGCATGGTCTCCTTATTTTTCTGTCTGGTTCTAACACTGATCACTGTTGCTGGAGTCATGCTATTGGTAGAAATTAGATTTCACTCTTTCCCATATTGTAAAAATATTTTGTATGTACGAGGGCACTGAATTTCAGCCATGCATGTGGAATGGTTCGCAGATCAGGACTGTTTTTATATTTGGTTTCTGTTCAATTTTTTTCATGCTAATGCTTGATGGGATGTTGTATAGGTGTCAGAGAAGTTCACAGTGCCCAATGTGTTGGCAGCCTATTAGTATGAAGGATCCTACCAGGCAAGTTCTTGGCTGTGCAAATACGATGCTTACCATTAAGTAGTTACTTCCAGGCTAATTCTAGTTTTACTGATATCTCAGTCAGGAGCTGCTCGAGGCAGTAGAGCGTGAGAGGAATATAAGAACCAATCAAACTCGAAACACAACTATATTTCATCATCCTGCTCTTGGGGATTTTGAGCTGCAGCATGTATGTGTTACGAAACCACTTCATAATACATTTCTTCTTACTTGCTGGTTTTTGTGTCATTTTTTTAAGTTTTTCCTGATTACCTTGATATGCTTGTGCAGCTGCCTGTTGGTAATGATGCTGAGCTTGAAGAGCGTATACTACAACATCTAGCTGCTGCTGCTGCTATGGGAAGGGCACACCATCTTGGAAGAAGGGAGGGGCACAGGGGACGATCTGGCTCTCATGGTCGCCCACAGTTCCTAGTTTTCTCGACACATCCAAATTCACCTTCCGCTGGCACAATGTCTACATCTTCTGCTCATGTGGAGGGAGAAAATGATTCAAATCCTGCCACCCCTAGAGCTAGTGAGTCATCTCCACGAGCTATTCGCATTGGAGATGCGGGAAACCAAAGTCCCAGGATGCTTACCTATGATGCTGAACAGGATGCTGTCGTTTCTTCCGGAAATAGCACTCCTGTATCGAGTCCTCGGTTTCTTAACAGGTACTCTGTCTATATTCAGATACTGTTTTCTCATGTTAGTTTTTGTGGTGATCTAACTAAATGACTTACTGATGCATCAGGAGACACTCCACTGGACAGTCAACTCCAGACAGGGCTGGACCATCGGATGTTCAGTCTTTCTCAGACTCCCTGAAGTCTCGCTTAAATGCTGTCTCTATGAAGTATGGATAGTTTGTAATTTTGTCAATATATTTTTTTGCCTTGAGCCTTCTAGCATAATGAATTTTTATCCTAAAGCTTTGCAATACTTTTGTATGATCCAGGTACAAAGAATCTATTACAAAGAGTACACGAGGGTGGAAGGAGAGACTCTTTTCACGTAATTCGTCCGTGGCGGATCTTGGTTCTGAAGTGAGAAGAGAAGTTAATGCTGGAATCGCGTCCGTGTCACGGATGATGGAGCGTCTGGAAACTAGAGGAAATAGCAGAACAGGTGATAGCCCAACAGCATCCACTTCTGAAGTTCCTCCCGCTACGGAATCAAGCAATGAAAGGATTACAGAGAGCAACTCTGCTGCTGCTGCTGCTGCTGCTGGTGGTAGTGGTGGTAGTACTACTACCACTATGAGTACCAGTTCTAGCAATGCCTCTGCTCCTTGTGTCGCGACATCTGGTTCAAATTAGGACATGTAAGGGTCTCAGAAAGAAGGCTTACACATGCCGATTCTTCATCTTCAAAGGTACCACATAGATCTCGTCTTAGAGCCTTGGTTGGATCAAACTAACAGATGCTGAATGTTAGCGATTCCATGCGATTCCAGGTTGTCAGTCTGGTGGCAGAGCAGAAGTGCAATAACTCGATGCTGTCATTTTTTCTCAACCACTGCATAAACAGCTGCAAGGAAACCTGGAATGGTGATTTGATGTATTGGCTCGATAAAAATGGTGGTGGTGCGTGTGGGCAAGGGAAAGTCCGATTTCATCTTCTGTTTATCGTCTCTTTGTAAAAAAATTTCTTCCGAGGGCAGAAGTTTTACCGGTATAAATAACGGATATGTCATCATCTTCATAGTACGCAGATCAGTTATAAATATGATTGGAACAGCAAAGTTTGCTGCTGTTATATACAGTTTATATACCATGGCGCGATTTCATGTTTGCTCTGTGGGTGAATCGATGGATTTTGCTATACACAAATTATGCATCTTTCGACGTCTCATGCCTATGTATACATGAGCCTATTTTGAGTCCATATCTCTGAAACTTGTTTGTGTTAAGTTCAGCGAAACTCCAGTGCGGCGCACAAAACGTTCCATCTCGATTTTGGCGAGATTCAGTAGGGAAAACTAAAGATGTGGCGAGATTCAGTAGGGGAAAAAATGTGTGGCGAGATTTATTAATAGAAAATAAAGATGTGGCGAGATTCGTTAGAAAAAAAAAATGTGTGCGAGATTCACTGTTTACTTCCCATTTGTAAGGATGATCGTTAAGATTCAGTAGAAAAAAAGAAGAATGAGCGATCTACTTCCCATTTGTAAATTCGCAAAAAAAAAAAAAAAAAAACTTCCCGTTTGTAAGGATTGATCGACAGCGCCCGACCGCCGCACCCCGCCGCCTCCTGTGCAGCAGTAGTAGCTGTGTAGAGAGATTGAGTATAACTGAATTCCAGCTAAACCAACATTCCTCTTCTTTTTTTTCTTCACATGTAGTATCTTCAATTCAACAACACGATGTGTCGGTTTACTGAATTGATAGGAACGATGGACGGGAACGGGCATTACGTGATTGGCGGCGGCGGCGGCGGCGATGAGCCTTCAGTCGAGGAGCAGCAGCAGCGCTCGCCGATCGAGGCGCAGGCGCTACCCGTGGCGGCGGCGGCCCCCCGCGCGGTGCGGCTGAACCAGAAGCGGACCAAGAACTTCAGCGACAAGGAGGACGAGATGCTGGCGCTGGCGTGGCTCAACGTGAGCGCGGAAGGGCCGGCGCACGGCGGCGAGCGAGCGCCCTACTGGAAGCGGATGCACGACTACTTCCACTCCCGCAGGGACTTCGAGTCGGAACGCAGCGAGAACTCGCTCCTCCACCGCTGCTCCACCATCCAGGACAACGTCAAGCGCTTCGACCGCTGCGTCGCCGACGTCGTCGACGGCCAGCAGGACGACAACTCGCTCACGCCTCAGGACACGGTACGGTAACCGACGCTGCTCTCTCTCTCGTCGTGTTCTTGGTTCGTTGTGACATTTTTTTTTCACTGTCGTGTGCAGTCAGTCTGGAACGCTGGCGTGACGTTTTTTCTTTCCGCGCCCTGTTTAGTTTCCACCAAAACTTTAGAGAGCACGGAGCATTAAATATAGATTAAAAAAATAACTAATTGTACAGTTTGTGACTAATTTGTGAGACGTATCTTTTAAGCCTAATTAGTTCATAATTTGACAACAAAGTGCTACAGTACACACATGCGCTAATACCTGATTAATTAGGCTTAATAAATTCGTCTCGCGGTTTACCGGCGGATTCTGTAATTTGTTTTTTTATTAGTATCTGAACAACCCATGCGGTACCCTCATGTGACATCCCAAAACTTTACACGCTAAACGAGGCCTCATTGTTGTTGGGGACAATTGTCTAGCGGACATCCAAAGTGATGTCGTTCGCTGACGGACACCCCGTTTTGAACAGTTTGCCAGAAGACACTCTGGCGACAAGGAGGCACGCGTCGGCGACGAGCTGGGAGAGCGAGGCGGCGGTGGAGGAGAGCGGCGGACAGGAAACAAAAACAAAAAAAAGAAAGGGAGAGAAAAAGAAGAAAACGGTAAGAGCAATAATGTCATTTCACCGCTGTTCTCTCTTCTCAACCGGCTACAACCGATCCACAATGTTCTATGACTTAATTTTAACGAACCGGATTATCTTCTGTCAAACACTCAAAACGGGGCGTTCATAAGCGAACGACCGTCACTTTGATGTCCGATAGACAAATGTCCTTGTTTAATTTGCAGGTGGTGCAGTCGCTGGCTCTGTTCAAGTCTGAGGACAAGAACGAGTCGTTCCAGTTCCTGCACTGCTGGAACCTCCTGAGGTCGCACCAGAAGTGGATCGAGAGGTCGTCGCAGAAGCTGGCGTGGATCAACCGGTCGTCGTCGTCCCAGTCCCAGACCCAGGTGGCGGCCTACTCGTCTCACAAGAAACAGAAGACGACTCCCGGTTCGAGCCCAAGCTCGTCGACTCCGCCATTTGCTCTTGACGACAGTTTAGAGGCTGCAGGTCAGGATTGCGAGGTGTTGATACAGCCAGAGCCAGTGGATGTGGATAAGCAGAAAGAGAATTTACAGCAAGGTGGAGCTGGTTTGTATTACCTGGAGGCATCAGATGATCTTTGGGGGAAGAGGAACTCGGCTAATGAGGGGAGAGAGCTCAACAATGGCCAGGGAGATGAACAGGATGATACCGACAGAGACGAACAGGCTGATGCGGAGAGACAGGTCAACAACAATAATGGCGAGAGAGACAAACATGAGAGAGATAAACATGCGCTGGAACAACAGAAGGTTGCGCTAGAACAACAGAAACAGAAGGTTGCGCTAGAACAGAAGTATGCGCTGGAACAAAAGAAGGTTGCGCTAGAACAACAGAAGGTTGCGCTAGAACAGGAGAGGATTGCGCTAGAACAAGCCAGGGCTGCTAATGAGGCGAGGAGCCTCAAGATAAAGAGGAAAGAATTGGACTTGAAGAGCAAAGAGGTGGATTTGAAGATCATGTTAGAAGAAGAGAGAATCATGACTAAGGACACTAGCGGTATGCCTGGGCTACAACAGCAGTACTACAAGATGCTGCAGAATGAGATCATGACTCGGCGGTTCAATAGCTCGGGTTCACCTTGTATGAACCACTAGGTTTTATTTATTCTTCCATTATGTTGCTTGAACTAGGATGGTGTATCAACCTTAAGGTGTATGGAGCATCCTTGTTTGTGAATAACCTTAAGTTGGATGGACCATTATAGCTCATGAACCTCTGTTTTTAGCTGACAAAACAACTGTTGCGTACCAGTCATTCTGTACAAAGAGGGGTGGAAATGGAACCCAATTTATTTACATTGCTATGGACAACCCCAATCCAATTTTGTCCTTGTTTTGTTTTCAGTTTATAAATTGGCCAGACAAAGCCAGTATTGGTCATCCAATTTTGTCCTTGTTTTTTTTTCAATTTATAAATTGGCCAGACAAAGCCAGTATTGGTCATCCAATTTTGTCCTTGTTTTTTGTTAAATTTATAAATTGGCCAGACAAAGCCAGTATTGGTCCAAGACTTTTGATAAAAAAAAAAGAAAAAGTTGTGAATTAGAAAGAATGCTGTGGACGCTTGTACTATGACAGGAGTGTGGACAACATAGAGAAGTATAAGGTGGCAAAGAAGACTGCAAAGTGAGCTGTAAGTGTGGCAAAGGGTAGAACGTACGAGGATCTTTACCAACATTTGGGTACGAAGGAAGGAGAGAATGATATTTATAGGATGGCTAGGATTCGTGAGAGAAAGACAAAGGACTTCAACCAAGTTAAGTGCATTAAGGATGAAAGAGAACATCTCTTGGTGAAGGAGGATGAGATCCAACATCGATGGCAAGAGTATTTTGACAAATTGTTTAATGGTGAGAATACGGACATAACCTTTCAGTTGGATGACTCTTTCGATGACATCAATAGGCGCTTTGTGCGGAGAATCCAAGAATCTGAGGTCAGAGAGGCGTTGAAAATGATGAAAGGAGGTAAGACGATAGGACCGGATGGTATCCCAATCGAGGTGTGGAGATGCCTCGCGGACATAGCTATAGTATGGCTAACCAAGCTATTCAACTATATTTTTCGATTGAGCAAGATGCCTGACGAGTGGAGGAGAAGAATATTGGTACCGATCTATAAGAATAAAGGGGATATTCAAAGTTGTACTAATTACCGATGAATTAAGTTGATGAGCTATACTATAAAGCTATGAGAGAGAGTTATCGAGCATCGCTTGAGAGCAATAACGTAGGTCTCTATGAACCAATTTGGTTTCATGCCTGGAAGGTCAACCATGGAAGCCATTTTCTTAATAAGATAAGTTATGAAGCGGTATATGGAGAAGAAGAAGGAGCTACACATGGTTTTTATCGACTTGAAGAAGGCTTATGATAAAATACTAATGAATGTTATGTGATGGGCTTTGGACAAACATAAAGTCCCAACGAAGTACGTCGGGCTCATTAAGGACATGTACAACAATGTTGTGACTAGTGTTCGAACAAGTGATGGAGACACGGATGACTTCCCGATTAGGATATGACTACATCAAGGGTCAGCTTTGAGCCCTTATATGTTTGCCTTAGTGATGGATAAGGTCACAAAGGACATACAAGGGAACTTCCCTTGGTGTATGCTTTTCGCGAACGATGTAGTGCTAGTTGATGAAAGTCGGACAGGAGTGAATCAGAAACTGGAGTTATGGCGGGAGACTTTGGAGTCCAAAGGTTTTAGACTCAGTATAACTAAAACTGAGTATATGAGATGTGACTTCGGCACTACTACTCGGGAGGAGGAAGATATTAGTTTGGAAGGTCAAGTAGTGCCTAGGAAGGATACCTTTCGATATTTAGGATCAATGCTACAGAGAGACAGAGATATTGATGAAGATGTTAGCCATAGAATCAAAGCAGGGTGGATGAACAAAAGGGTACCACAGAAGCTAAAAGGCGAAGTTTTATAGGACGACGATTAGACCTGCTATGTTGTATGGTGTAGAATGTTGGCCTACGAAGAGACAACATGTTCAACAAATAAGTGTCGCAGAAATGCGTATGTTGCGTTAGATTTGCGGTTATACAAGAAGGGATCGAGTTCGGAACGATAATATACGTGATAGATTAGGGGTAACACCAATTGAAGAAAAGCTTGTCCAGCACCGGTTGAGATGGTTTGAACATGTCCAATGAAGACCACCAGAGGCACCGGTTTATAGTGAAATCCTAAGCCAGGATAGTAACGTGAAGAGAGACAGAGGAAGACCGAAGTTGACTTAAGTAGATGCAATAAAAGGAAACTTAAAAGAATGAAATATACCCAGAGACTTAGGCTTAGATAAGAGTGCTTAGAAAACAGCTATTCACACATAATTCTGGTAATGAACTCAACTGGGACAGTCAAATGAGAGTCAGTTAACAACGAACGTCACAAATTTGGAATCGAGACTGCTGGATTGGTGACAAAATGCACCTTATAATTGAGAAATGGCAAGACCCCTTTAGCATTTAGTTACAGCTGTGTCAAAAAGTGAAAACCATGTCATGTTTCGTCTACATAACAACCCCTTATAGACAGCTTAAGTAGCTGTTCCTAGAAGGCTAGAGGTACCTAAACAACCAATAAAAGAATTCCCTATTCCAGGTACGGCTGCCGGGCTCTGAACCCAATGCCTCATGTAATTTTACAAGTGGATACAGCAACGCGTGCAGTTTCATCGGATGTTTTGCCTCTTGCTGTCTAGCATCCTTTCAGAACCACCATGAAACAAATCCTAAAAGTGTCAAAACACTATCTTTGGTCAGGCTTAGGCGCCACGGTCTTAACTTGATGAGCGCTGGTGCCTCACACAGACAAGATCATCCAACTTGTTTCCATCCATCTTGTATAGAGACACGCCACCCATTTGGATATGGTGTTCCTGAGCTTCTCTTCTCAGCTTCTCAAGTGGAAGCAACTCCCACTTGCTGTAGTTTGAATTCTTGCGTGTCTCATTCATATCTGAAGTGCCTGATACCGGTCCATAGTCAGGGTCAACTGTTCCCCACACCTTGCAATTGCTAAATGGCCCCAGCTCAGCTGGCTGGTCAGCTTCATGCTTTTTTAGATGAAAAGCTGCAGCGTGTGCCCTTCTGATCTCTTCTTTGCTTGGTATGTCTGACCAATCTTCCACCCTTTGTGCTCTCATGGGAGAATGGATACGAATGACCTACACATGGTAATTATCACTAAGGTCAGGACAAATCTATGCAGATAGACCATAATGATAACAAGGTCGAGGCTTACCCCAAGGCATTCCAGAAGTTGATAATAAGCTCGGCCTTGCAGTGGATTATGTCCTTTCCTAGGGCCTGTGAAATACCGTGTCCTGAAATAATATGGAGTGAGAAGAATATATATTTATACAAAAAGGGAAACATAGCGCCAGCTGCCTTGTTAATGTTGAAATACTCAGTATTGTAGCCATTCGTTAACTCACCATTCTGTGTACCCAGGATCAACTGTAAAACCATACATGTCAACAATATCACACATGGAAAGGGCCAGTTCTATGGACTTCATGCCAGTTCCTTTAGCACCTCTTCTTAAAACTATACCTTGGAAAAGGTAGACAGGATTTGGAAGTTCCTGCAAGTAACCCATGTTCAATATAAGTGAGCATGACCTTCCATGATTCATAACACTTAAGTAAAATTAGTTTATATCACAAACTCAGCTCAATGAAACAATATGCAGATCTGTTACCTTTATCACCGCATTGATTTCTTTGTAAAGGCAAACTTTAATGATAAGTGCTTCATCAGCTGCAAGGAAAGCGAGACAGTCACATCTTGTTTCAAAAGCAGCCCTCACATGCCATAACAGAAATATTTACCACATGTCTAAACTCTATTTGATAACAACAACTTCAGAACCATAAATTGAACTTGTAAAAAGGATAGTAAGTTTGCATTTGTTTGTTACCACGAATGTAGTTACATATATCATATAAATCAGGACTACAGCATATTATATAGAAGGGACAAATAGAAAATTGG